GCTAAGAGTTTGGACATCATCGATGATGTTTGGATTCCCCCACCGATGATTGAAGACATTAACGGGCCGCCATGTCTCCGGTACTCGCCTCATGGTCACGAAAACGCTGGCTCAGTATGGCATACAGTCAGGTGCTGATTTATTGTTGGACTGTTTGGTGCAGATCAACAAGACGGGGCCAAACGGTACTATCACTATGGTGGATGTGAACCTTTCTTACATAATCAAGGCAGTGAATGAGAAGACTGAATGGGGAAAGAACCAAAATCTTCATTAAATAAAGATAAAATGATAAAAATATCTTTAATTTTGTCAAATCATTTTGGACATTGTTTATTAAATTGAGGGTGTTTTTATCATTTTGATATTATAATAACATTTTCACGAAATGACCAAAATGATTGATAGTGAATAGACGCAGAGACTACTTCCGTTGATTTCAAATATCAGAAACCAAAATAAAGCATGTTAGCTTCCACTGAAAATTCGTAACCCAATTCATCTTTGCATCTCAACTACTCTCTGCGAGTACAGAGTGGGACCAAAGTGACAGTAAAATTGAGTGGCATTGGATTAAATTCAACCAAACACCCCGGTGATCAAGAATTTTGATCGCAAAATGTTGTGCAAACATTCTAACATCGGTATTCCAGTTATCATGCAACTCAATCAGCAGCTTCATCTAAGGAAACAACCTGCTCTTCGCCATGATTCTTCATGATCATTCAGTTCAGTAATACATATAGCTTTCTACGGTGCCTATATTTATGCATAATTTGAGAAGTACATGAAAACGGGTTATTGAGGCCTTCTCTGCTTGATGTCCATTGGCGATACTAGGCAAATCAGAGTAAACGTGAGAGAAGTCTAAGGGAGAGGGGAGCCAAGATCCTCGTCTACCCTATCCTCTTGGCATTTCTTAAGAAGGTGGAGCTGGCGTCGCAAGTGCAAAACCTGTGCCATGCCAGTATAGGTAATGTTATAAAATCTTGGAAATAAAAGTCGGGCGCAGATTCAAATTATCTGATCAAAGACAAATTAACTTGAAAAAAATTGCTGAAAACTACCAAACATTTAAGCTTACCTCTTCTTGAAGCAAAGTAGGAAGATTTACAGTGGAAACAAGGTTAGATATTTCTTTTGAAAGCTTCTCATCTTTGATCCCAGACCATGTACCTGGGGGCAAGGCCAGTAGAAGTACTGTTACAACGTCATTGCTAGCTGGATGCATCCCAATTGCACAAGAACATCCTGAATTTGTTTTTGACGAAGGAACAAGCATGTCCATCCTCTCCTCAGCTCCACCATTTACCACCATCCCGCTCACAACCGTGGCTGGCTTGTCGCCATTAGCCTTCAAGCATTTCACACATGTTTCCTGACAGCAATACACCCCCCAGGAGGCAGACTTCCCCGACAAAATTTGTGCGCCTTGGCAGCAAACACTCGCAGCAATGTTGCGCAAGTTTTCTTCGTGACCAGAATATAAGTTTCCGCAGCATGAATGTGCTGAAGATAATAATTCTGCCACATGTTTAAAAAGGCCAGTGTCCTGGACTTGTCTCAGTACCTTCCCCTGCAAATAAATAATCGGGTATTTAAATTACAAACTAGAAAATAGTTTGGGGTTCTTAAAGATAAAAAAAAAATGGGACGATTTGATAGGAAAAGGGAAAACGACGAAACTGAAGGCCTAGATCACCTTGACAGCAAGCCTAGCTTTTTCCTCTGGGCTTAAGCTTTGGCCACCATCTTCTTGTCTCCGAACTTCTGCAACCCACTTGATGAATTGCCCAAAATAGGATGGGAGCGACATGAAAACAACAGAGAGAACTTCCTGAATGTCATTCACCTCCTCTGATTTTAGAAGAAGAGGAACATCATCCATTAAGTATTTCGCAACACCGACCCAACTCTCATGTTTGCAGCTCTGCAAGAAATAAATATCACAGAAAAATAGATAAATATCTTCAACGATCATAAAATAAGTAAGCAACCCAAGATTTGTGATAACTCCAGCACACAAACATAAATACTTTTGTCAAACACAAACACACAAACATATGAGAGAGACAGCTTGCAATAATGACATACAACAAATCAAAACACACCATATAGGTAGAAGTCATATTATCGAAGACAGGAAAAAGTATATAAACAAATTACTAGGCCGCGGAGAAAGGGAAAAAGACATGCACATTCAGACAACCAGAATGAAACCCAACCGAACTGTGTATGGGGGAGTTCGGTTTGGGTTTGGTTTGGGTTTTGAAGCCATTAAATTGACGAATTCAATCATACCAGGGTATAAAGTTGACCTGGTTCCCTGTGCGGCCTAGATATAAGCATGAACCTGGGCACATTTGAGAACTAAGAATGTCATTGAAATTCAACGCGTTTCATATTCTAGCAAAAATATATAGCAATGGCTCTCAACATGCACATCTGATATAATTTGCAATAGGTAATATTCACTAGCATGCATGAATACCTACCCTCTGCGTTGTCCAGTAGAGGAATCAACATTATTCATGGCGTCCCAAAGAATTTTGAGGGGCACCCAATGAGGAGGATACTTAAAACGTGCAACGTCCAGAATAAGTGCCATGTCTCTTCCAGCATGAAATCCACCAATTGGTGAAAAATGACCGGTACCTGTCTGCAATAAACAAATTCATTTGTACTTCAATACTTGATCAAATTTCAAAGAATTGGGGAGTGTGACACGGGGCCATATAAGCAGAATCATCAAGTGAGATAATCATCAGGAGTTGTATTAACAAGTTCCCATAGTTCGATTCAAATAAGCTGTGTATAATAAGGCTGAGAAATATTAAGCATTTCCACAGGTAACTAAAACTTATCAATGGTTCACCAAAGAAAATGTAGAGTAGTATAGTAATAATAACCTGTTTGAGAGCGGATCTATCATATGATGAGATCACATGACAATCATCAGAAGTAGAACATCTCAATACATATTTACGAAACTGATCAATTGTGCTATGATTTGTGCGAAAGGCTTCAACTTTTGCTCCAGCGCAGTGAGCCAAGCAAACAAGCTTCCCAAATGAGATGCCTCTTACTTTGACAGTCTCCAAAGGCTCGCAGCAGTCTAACATAGATTCATCAAACCATCTCCAGGGTCCTGTGAGAAAGAATTCAGTTTATAATATATATACATTATAGGATCAAACTTGACAAAAAAAATCGCTTAACATAAACGTTTATTACATTCAAGGCATTTGCAAACAAGGATGGAGTCAGTAATGAGAGGCAACAACTACTATAATGTGTAAAGCATTTTATTCTACTAGCAAGGAAAAACATCATACAATATTAAAGCATCAGACTTGTAAGAGGTAACCAAGAACAAATTCTTAAATCCCACAAAGTTATACTTCATCACTCCAAACATCGTACTCGATAGGACAAGAAAGCAATTAGTCTAAAGCAGTTTGATCATCAACAACTCAGATTATAACGACCTGGACAATTTCGAAAGTCAATGTAGTCGGAAATCCAATAGAACTTAAATGGACGCAATTAACAAGATAGCCAATATAACGAAACTTGACTTGTGAATTTTAAAATGCCATTCACTAGCTTGATCAACAACAAAATCATACCTTCAATCCTATTAGCTGATAAAACTTAAACTTTACCTTTCCATTTCCTTCCGGGATCAATAGCAAGGGCATTCAAAACCATGGACAGGCTCGCCAATCCACAATAAGCGGGCTCTGATTGCGTCTGAAAAGAAGAAATCAACCTATAGAAGTTTTCCATAGTCCCACTCTGAATGGCTTCAAGAAAAAGCTCCTGCAATTCGAAAACCACCAAATCTAGTAACCCAAAAACAATGGTTCTGAACAGCAACACATCACAAGCACAAAAGTCACTCACTCCCAAGAAAAGCACCATATAATTTGACACGAATAATCCGCAACATTCCCAAAAACACAGGCAGCCAAATAAATGTTGTGTCATACATAAACTGAACTCAACATTTTGTACCCAAAACAAAAATCGGGGGAAAAGGAAAATTCAGATTGTATTATAAAAAGGGTATCTATAGAAAAAGTTAAAGTTTCAAGCTTTAATGCTAAATGTTAAGCTCACACAAAAAATTTAAAAATTGGGGGAAACTAAAACATAATAGAACTCAAGAAAAAGTAAGTGACGGAGTGAGGAAGCTGCATCTAAAGGTTGTACCTTTCCCCGTAAGGAAGCAAATTCGACTGCAGGAGGAGAAGGAAGGATTCGTCCGTACAGCCCCGCCATAGCCATTTTTCTTCTTCTTTTTTTTTTTTTTGTTTTTTCTAAAAATTAAACAAATAAAACCCAAGAAAATTTCGGGGAAGAAAATCTGATCTGGGCAGGACTGAGAAAATTGAAGTGTCCAAGTCAAGGGGTTTGGGGTTTTGGTTCGGGTCGGCGTCATTTCCGTGGGACAATTCTCTATTGCGTTCGATTAGGAAAGGGAACCCGCGTAATTAACTATTTCAAACGCCAGGGCTTTTAAGCTAGTTTGGTATTTATGTGCTCTGAAAAAAATAATTGTTTTTGTTGTGATGTGAGAATAAACAGCTGTGAAATAAAGTAGCAGAGTGTTTGGTAAACTTTTTTGTAAAAGTGCTTTTGGAAAAAAAAAAAAAAAAAAAACCAGTATTATAGTGTTTGGTAAACTTTTATGTAAAATAACTGTGATTGTGTGAATGACCAAAAATTGTATAATACTAGATGTGCCATTAATTTAATTTTCTTAACAAATAAAGATGAATTACTAAATATACTTTATTTTTTTCAAAGCATAGTAATACCAAACCAACCCTTCAATAGCACTTATGAACAAAAATGGTTTTTAAAGTAGCAAAATCCCACACCAAACTGAAACCTATCTTGTTATCCAGCATTTCATATTATGCTATTTTTTGCTTAACTACTTAGCATAAGCATTTCAGTTCAAGGTTCGAAGAAAAAACCCCGAATGGGACATCTAATGTAACAAAATTAACTTTAATGAATCTCAAGATGCCATGCATCAAGTCACAACGAATATCACCTTACACATATAGTAGAATCTAAGCATTTGGAAACTTAGTAACACAACATTATCAAAGAAAATCGAGAATTTCATTAAGAGAAAAGAAAGGGTAAGTCTCAAAACAAAACACTACACTCAACATAGAGGATCATCCTACTCTCCTTCACTGACCACCAGGCAGTGTCTTGATAACATCCGAATCACCTAAAGATAATACCAAATGACAAAGTTAGCCAAATCAGTTTTTGTCGGCAAACAAACTGCTTAGAATGATACGAAAACTATGGAGTACCTGCATCAATGATGCTAAGGCAAGACACCCGGAAGTACTTTCCACATGCTGTACCAAGCTCAACATTGTCTGAAAACAGAACAAATGGTAAGCCAAATGAAAAGATACAGGTATAGTAGGCAAACTAATTCTCATTTTATTAAAATAAAATGAATAAAAGCATAAGACTCAGGATTCTGCAGCATATATGATCATACTTATGTTATACATGGGAGCACGAAGAAAGACCCAACATACTAATCAGTAAAGGGAGATCTTATTCCATACAGGATACAAAACTAGATGATAAATAAAAAGGCATTTTATGCATGCAAGAATTTCAAACATAATGAAAGTAGTGTGACCTAAGAGTAACTCAACTAGACTAAGCAACAACGTACTACCACAACAAACCAATATTTTACGGAAGGAAGATATATGTTCCTAAATCACGCAAACACAGAACAAGATGTGAATGGAAGAACTAATGAATAACCACAACAAAGTATACCGTCCAGTGAAAATCCAAGAACCAATAGGGTAAGTTAAGATGACCAAGACAATCAGACACCGTGGACTAATCGACACAGTGAGATAAGTTGCAACATCTAACAGCCAATACATATCCCATTAATCTAAACCTTCTGCGTACCAGCAATCAAAGAACAATCAAACAGCTAAACCTTCTGCTACACCAGAAGTGAACAAAAATACTGCATTACCAAAGGGATTGTAAGATGCCTACCATAAAACTCATATCAAAATATTTATCAGAGAAGATCAGCAAATTCAAGCTTATTGGATGATTCTAACATCTCCTAAATTGTAGATATCAACACATAACCCGAACCCGATATACACCTTTACTAAAAACATACAATTTCATTTTTCATTCACCTTTTTATCCTTCTACAAAACTCTGCAACAAAACACAAGGTACCTGCATTGCATCACTTATATTCTCTCTCTCACTTTTATTAACATGCAAAACTCAAGTCATCGTTACTTCATCACTAACAGCAGAAGACTAACCTCTGAGGCATAGAGTTCAAATTTGCACAAATCACCAGGGGAATCTTCAACTTGGCAATTTTCTCAAGTGCATGGATGAGGGTTTCAACCTTGTATCAGAAAAGACAAATAACTGTATTCATCCTAAACCAAAAACTGTGAACCAAAAACTCAAACCTAGTACTAATTAAAAAGAATAACATAAACACAAACAACTCTTTAATCCAAAACAAGATTTAGGGAACAAACATGCATTATCACTTCTCACACTTAATATGCATCAAGATTCAGTCAAGGAAAATAAATAGAGAAGTAATCAATTTTTCTTACTTCTCCCTTAAATTTTCTTGTTTCCCTCACAAACCCTAATTTTTCCCCCAATTGTTTTCTCCATCCCCATTTTTTTTCCCGACACCCATACACTCTTCCCACCCCTCTCACTCTCCTCATCCCCAAATTTAAAAATCCAAACAAATAAATAACAAAATTTTAGACAAGAGAAGCTTACCAGAGGAATAAGGGAAGGCGACGGCAAAAGAAGAAGGGAAGGCGACAACGGTGTCTGTGGTGCTGAGGCTGATGGAGAGAGAGAAAGAGAGAGAGAGAAAGAGGAAAATGAGGAGGAAGAAGTGCAGTGGCAGGCAACAAAGGAGAAAAGGGTGTGCGCGAATCTTTGAGTGTTCTGCGAAAGGAAGGCGTGCGAGAGAAATAATGGTAATGTTGGCAATTTGAAAATTTCATTAATAAAATTATTGTAGCTCCGTGGTTTCACAAATAAGCTACTTTCTGAAGCTTTTTTTTGCAACTTCCCATTTTTAGCTTTTTTCCATCCAAAACTTTGACATAAAGCTGATTTTGAGAGTTTACCAAACACCAAAAACCCTCCCAACTTTTTTTCATACCCACTTTTTTATTAAAATCACCTCAATCCCAAACCAGGGCTAAGTTTCCCAATTAACAATCCAAATGTTAGGATTGTGGTTTACTTGATCACAATTATATGACCGTTAAGCATTATTAGTGAACTAAAGTTATTTTACTTAGTTTAATAAGTGAGCGGCCAATTGACAATGGTTGTTTGGGAAAGGGAATATAAGCATCAATAGTCTGAGAGTCCTTGTAACGATTATTTGATTAAAAAACAATATTGCAAAAAATATTCAGTTCTCTCTCTATCGTCTCATTTCTCCATACTCTGTGCCATTGTTACTAGTTGCTTGTAGGTTGAGCTAAGGAGCTAGAGAATTGATCCTCACATTGGTATCATCCTCTCGATCCTGAGTCTCCCTCTTGTATGCCCCGTCACACTACCAATTCTCGAATGCTTACCAAGGACGTGCACATGTTCGCCATGGAAGCTGCTTTGGAAGCTATCCCTCAACTGATCCAATCCTCGACAGCAAATTCGGAAGCCAAATTCACCTCCATGGAAACGAAATTTGCCTTTTTACTGGAACATTTCTGTCGCGAACCAGCGTCTCAAGGCGGTGTTGGTTCTTTTGCAAATCTATCTTCCCCGGTGCCAGATCCATCGGCTCCTCCACCGATCGTGGCCGATGATGGTGATTTCTGTTGCCTTGACACTCCGCGTTACTAGCGCCGTGATTCTTTTGAAGACAGTGGTTTCACTCCTCGCCCCCAGTTGCAGCATCGTCCGGATTTTCCCCGTTTCTCCAACGACGATGATCCCTAAGCTTGGATCTATAAAGTTGAGCAGTATTTTGCTTACTATCACACCCCAAATCATCAAAATGTGGTGACCGCCTCTTTCCACTTCGAGAATGAGCCGCTACAATGGCTTCGATAACGTGATTGCATCCACTCCACTCCGACTTGGGGAGAATTCACAACTGCTTTGTGCCAGGAGTTTGGCCCTACTGATTTTGAGGTCTACACTGAGTCATTGTTCAAACTCAGACAAACAAGTACTCTTCACGATTATATTGTTGAATTTCGGCACCTTGCTAATTGCAGTTCAGATGTAGGCCTTATATTGTTAAATAGTTGTTTTCTGGGAGGTCTCAAAAAGGAATTGCGCTATGATGTTAAGTTGCTCCGCCTAATTTGGTTCGTGAGGCCATTTCATTTGCTGCTCAATTAGATGCTAAGCTCAATGATCTAAAACCCTACCCTCCAAAACCTCCTCCACTAGCAAAACCTACTTTAGCCTTACCTCCACATCCACTTGTTCGGCCTGAACCCCAAAACCTACCTTACAAGAAACTTATCCCTAAGGAGGTTCAAAGGAAAAAGAAAAAATGAGATTGTTGGTTCTGTGATGAGAAATGGATTCGCGGGCATAAATGTTTACATAAACATCTTCTTATGCTTGATGTCTGTGATGGTTTGGAGCTTGAGGAGTGCGAAGTGTTTGTGCTTTCTATGGTACTAGTGCACATCATGTTGTGAAAACTATGAAGATAGATGGTGTACTCGAGTAGCAACCTGTAAAAATCCTCCTCAATTCTGACAACACTCATAATTTTATAGATTCAAGGTTTCTCAAGAGGTTACGTTGGTACTGTCACCCCACTAAATCTTTTGATGTAATGATCGTAGATAAGGGCTGAGTCACGAGCCAAAGGTGTTGTAAACAATTATCTCTGGAGCTTAGAGATTATAAATGCCATACTGACTTGTTTACCTTACCTTTAGGGGGCTGTGATATCGTTTTGGATGTGCAGTGGCTCTCTTCCATAAGCCTTGTGTTATGGGATTTCCAACAGTATACTCTGGACTTCTTAGTAAGCAAATACCACTACCAACTCACACAATCTAGCACTCCCACCAACTCGAGAAGCAATTCCATCATTCTAATCTGGGAATCTTGCTTTATTTCTTAGAGGGTGACAAAATGAAAGCCTTAGATTTGTCTCATCAGTAATTAAGTGAATTGCAGGATTTGTTGAATATGTTTGAGAGTGTGTTTATAGTTCCTACTATACCACCCCCACTTAGAGCACAGGATCATAAAAGTCCTTTGATTCACGGGGTTAAACCTCCTAGTATTTAACCATATCATTATGGACCAGTCCAAAAGAGTGAAATTGAGCGAGCCGTTCAAGTGCTATTAGATTGTGGCTTTATCAGGCCTAGTCATAGCTCATTTTCTTTCCCTTTCTTATTGGTGAAGAAGAAAGAGGGAACTTGGCGTCTTTGCATGGACTATAAGGAGTTGAATCGCTTTACAATTAAGGATAACTATCATATACCACTATTCGATGATCTGCTCGATAAGCTTTTTGGAGCCATGTTCTTTTCTAAACTTGACTTGAAGTCCGAGTATCATCGGATACGTATGCACACTGAGGACATAGAGAAGACAGTTTTTCATACTCATGAAGAACATTACGAATTCTTAGTTATGCTCTTTGGCTTAACTAAGCACCAGTAACCTTTCAGAGCTTGATGAATGCCATCTTCAAACCTTACCTGAGAAGGTTTATTCTAGTCTTTTTATGACATTTTGGTTTACAGTAAGAATTGGGTAAACCATCTCTCATAGCCTTTGAAGTCTTACAGCAACACCAACTTTTTGTTAAAAAACAAAGTGCTCTTTTGGTCAGAGCCAAATCAAATATTTAGGACACATTGTTTCTAGAGAATAAGTCACAGCTAATCCTACAAAGACTCAAGCAATTCTAGATTGGCTTTTTCCAACAAATGTCAAAGCTCTCAAAGGTTTCTTGGGATTAACAGGTTATTATCACAAGTTCATACCTAGTTATGGGAAAATATGCCAACCACTATATAACTTGACTAAGAAAGATGGATTTCAGTGATCACTAAAGGCTAAATTGACTTTCTAGCAACTCAAAACAGCTATGACTTATCCTCAGTTATTAGCTTTATCTGACTTTTCAACACCATTTGTAATCGAATGTGATGCATCAGGTTCTGGGATAGGTGCAATCCTGCAACAAAATGGTAGGTCAATTGCATTCACTAGCAAGTCCCTAGGTCCCAGAAACCAAGTTATCTCTACATATGAGAGAAAATTGATAGCCATAGTGCATGTCATTCAAAAATGGCAGAATTACTTGGAAGGGAACCATTTCATCATCAAAACGAATCACAATAGTTTGAAATACTTCTTAAATCAAAGAACTTTCACTCCATTCCAACAGAAGTAGGTTTTCAAACTCTTAGGTTTTGACTATGAGATTCAGTATAAGTAAGGGGTAAACAATGTAGTTGCAGATGTTTTGTCTCGAGTTCCTGGATCTACCATCTTACCTAAGCCACCAATGGGGGTCTCTACATAGTGCACATCTATAACTTACCCTTACTATGGATGGTTAGATGAATTAAGAAGGCATTTGGAATAGGATGCTTGGATCTCACAAAAAATGAAAGAGGTAATGAACCCCTCTCAAGCCTTTCCTACAAATGCACAGTGATCCAAATATACCATTGATAATGGTTTCTTAAAGCACAAGTCCCGAATGGTGATCAGTCCTACTTCTATTTAGCGAAGGAAGCTCTTTGATAAGCATCATAGTACATCTATAGGTGGACATGATGGAGTATTAAAGACCTACCAAAGATTGAAAAGAAGTTTCTATTGGCCAGGTAAGAAAAAAAAACATCAAGTTATGGGTCTCGGAGTGTAGAGCTTGCCAAGAGAACAAATATGAAACCTTGGCACCCCCTAGATTATTGTACCCTCTTCCCATTCCTGACAAAGTGTGGCATGATATCAGCATGGATTTTATCATTGGACTCGCAAATAGCAAGGGCAAATCTGTTATTATGGTAGTGGTGGATAGGCTATCTAAATTTGCTCATTTCAATGCACTAAGACACCCATATACTGCACAAATTGTTGCTCAGGCTTTTGTAGACAATGTATTCAAGTTGCATGGTATGCTTGCAATTATTGTGAGTGACAGGGATACCATTTTCCTAAGTGCTTTCTGGAAAGAGTTTTTCAAGCTTCAAGGATCCAAATTGTGCATGAGTTCAGGTTACCACCCTTAGAGTGATGGACAAACTAAGGTGGTTAACAAGTGTCTCGAGACCTATTTGCAATGTTTCACAAGTTACCAACTGAAGAAATGGCTTCATTGGCTCCCTTGGGTCGAGTGGAGTTATAGAACTTCATTTCAGTCCTCTACTCAATTCATTCCATTTAAGATTGTATATGGATACCCTCATCCTCATGGTACTGCATATGAGAGATGTACTGCAAAATTAGAAGTGGTGGAACAAGGGCTATTGGAAAGAGACATATTGCTCTCCATGCTCAAGACTAATTTGTTGGTTGCTCAAAATCGTATGAAGGCTCAAGCTGACAAGCATCGAAGGGAAAAAGAATTTGCAGTTGGTTTGAAGCTAATCCCTTATCAACTTCAATCATTTGCTATCCATACTCACCACAAACTTCACCCTAGGTTGTATGGACCATTTGAGATATTGGAAAGGGTTGGCTCAGTAGTGTAACGTCCTGTCTTTTAAGTTGTATTTGGGAATATTATTATTATTTCTAATTAGAATGAACCTAAGATAAGCTTTTACATAACTATTCATGTGTTAAACCTAATAGTAAGAGGTGTCATTACTATTTTTTGGATGTGGCATAATTTGGAGCAATTGGCAAATAAGGTTGGCAATTGTCAAACTCATGGCATGGAGGTATAAAGATTAGCAGGAGGTGGCATATTGATTGCATGCAAATTTTGTAGATAATAGAGCTCCACCATT